CCCGAGCGGCCGCGGCGCGCGAAACAGCTGTTTCGCGCGCTGCTGCTCCCCCTCCCTCCCAGGCTTGAGAGTCTGGGGGGAGGAGGCAGGGCTGGGGATTTGGGCAAGGGGCGGAGTTGAGGCGGGGCCGGGGGGGGGGTAAAAAAAAAAAGGGGGGGGGGGAATTATTTTTGCTTAGGGCGCCAAAAATCCTAGAGCCGGCCCTGGTGTGGTTCTTTGGTCACCAAACTGAACATTCTTCATTTCTTTATCTCATGCACCTAAATGTTTTGACTTTCTTATCTCTGTCTTGTAAAGCCAGTCCATCAGAGGCCGAGTGCTCAGCACCTCAGAAAATAAGGCTCTAGATAATTTCTTTTTTCTGAGGTGCTTATTTAGACTTTGAGATTGTGTATCTGAGCTGGAGGGAAAATAGCTCCAAGAACAAAAGGCATAACAGAATGTAAAAAGTTAAATACTTCTGTCCCTTCATAGATTTCAGTTTTCACATTTGAACAAACAACTTTTTTTCAGCACCAGCATTTTTTGTCAATGATTTTGGTCTTCACTTATAAAATGCAGTGTCATTCTCATCACATACTTGCCCATGGTGTCAATCTAATTTATGGGTTTGTGGTTGAAAAGAATATTTAAGTTTTGCAACATGGATTTTAGTTACTACTGCGATTTGTCAACCCATCTGGTCTTTGTAGGACTGACATCGTAGATACAGAAAAGCCAAACTGTTAAAATTTTAGATCTTTGAACTGCTTTTTTAAAAGTCCAATCCTGCTTTTTATCCCTTGATGGAAATTTAAATCTTGGAAGCAATGTACAAGTGGAGAAGGAAGTGCTAATAGTTATTTGGTTCCTGAGTATTGGTTCTGTGGCTATCTTGAGCTTTGTAACAGCTCTGATATAAATGTAATCCATTTAAACTCTGCAAGAACATTAGCAGTTTGCCTGGGAATTATTTCTTTATAAAGGCTTAGAAGGAGCACTGAAAATCAAACTGCAAGAGGACTGTTTAATAAAAAAAAAAGGCAAAAGTCTTGAGCATGATTAAACATGAGGAAGAAAAAACTGCCTGACAGACCTGTTCACCTTTTGTATATGTATAGCTAATTTCATCTTCTGTTTTGTTTGAAATGGTTTCAGTATTTTCTTCCCTTAACAGCCTGACAAATTTAATTAGATTAAAAGATAAACGTACGTTCAGTACAGAATGCTTACTGAGAACAGTAAGCAAAAATCAGATCTCTTCTCTTGGTTCAATATTTAGTTTTTGAATGTGAACTTTTTTATATTGTGGTCAATAAAACCTGTGGAGATCTTTCTCTAGAAACTATTGCTTAAATTTATACATATGCATTTAAACTATTAAAGAGTACAGACTAGATGTGGAAAAATGTGTATAAATTTGACAATATATATTGATCTGAGTTGCTGAAAGGCCTGAAGCCTGTACTCTTCCTATATGGCTGCTTGAACTTCAAAAGTAGGTTGACATGTTGGCCTTTAAATATTGGTGATTTCTAAAAATTTGTTTTAGATGTCTGAAGCGTCGTGTTAGCCCTCAGTTTCTCATGGCCAGCATTTAAGACTATCTAGCTTAATGGTCACTACTTTGTTGACTAATTAATCCTGCAATTCTTGTGCATGGAAAACTCAGATGAAATGGGTTGTGTGCATAAAGTCCCATTCTTGCAGCCTTTGATTCGTGAAGTGCAGATTTTAGCCAAACTCAAACCTTGTACGTTTGACGCTTCGGTCTGAATGAATCTTAGCCAGAGAAGAGAAATGCAGCGAGCTTTAAAACATTTCATAAGGTGGTTAAAATTTTCAAATTAATTCATTCTAAAAGGTCAGTGATGTTGGAACCC